TACCTTTAAACCCAGTGGAGGAACTGATGCCTTGTTCTGGTACAAACAAGAAGAAAACAGTTTTCCAAAGTACATGCTTAAGCAATACTTCACAACGAGAGATAAAGCTCCAGAGTTCAACAACAACAGATTCAATGCAGAAATCAATGATAAGACATTCAACCTGACGATCCAGGATCTCCGTCTGACAGACTCTGCTGTGTACTACTGCGCTCTGCAGCCCACAGTGACAGGAAACACCAGAACCCTGAACAAAAACCTGCAGTACTGCACAGCAGCCACTAGAGGGCCTCACTCTGTTAACCCACTAAAACCTGCAGTACTGCACAGCAGCCACTAGAGGGCCACATACATCAGGTTACATTAACATGAGGTGCAGCAGCATCTTCATCTGGTTCCCTCCAACAGTTCAAACTGGGAGAAGTCAGTGGAAACCAGTGGAAGCAGTTAGGAAACCTACTGGTCTAACCAGTAGCTACTAGTGGATAAAGCACTCGGTTTAATAACCTGAGTCAAAGTGTTGATCCTCCTGGTTAAATAATACTTCAATAAAAGCAAATGTATTTCTGCCAAATTACTACCAAGTATGTGCTTTGAAAAACATTTCAGTAGTGAAAGTATTTAAAACTGGAGGCTTATTGGACACATGTATAACTCCAAATATATAATTATAGTGTGTTAGTGTTATACGGTGCTTTTCTGGTCTCTTTATGATGTCATGCAGTATTCAGTCAGCTTCAGTCGGTTCTGGACCCATCCGGGTCACCACATCTATATCTGATACCCGGCGAGGCTCGGTGAACCTTCATGCCCACGGACCACAACCTTGCTCAGCCAGGGATTTGAACCAGCACCTCTCAGCTCAGTTACTTTCTATTGTCACCAATTCAATGTGTTTCTAGAAACACATTTTGAAGTTTATTTGGTAGAAATCCATTAATAGAACAAGCGGACTAAGAGTCTGAAAGCCTAAAGTCTTCACTGAGTCGTGTTCATGTTCACATCAGGATCTAAACAACAGGAGAGCTGGAACTTTTGGTTTGTCCTCAGAAAACACTAGAAATAAAATGAACAGGTTGAACTCGTGGTGGATCAGAAACCGGCTGTGGATCTGAACAGCCCTGCATGATTGAGGATCTCCTGCTTCAGCTCGGCTGATTTCACTCTGAATCAGGCGGATGAAAGCAGAGAAACGTGGAAACCAGCCTGGAGGATGAGAGCTGGGAGACGCTGCTGCCTGGTCACCATGATTACCAGCATTTAACGCGCGGCTAGCATGTTGTCAGTTTTACTACAACTGTTTAACTTGACATGATATAATGTTACCAAACCGACATTAGTGAACGAGTCTTAATGACCCGTCAGCAGATAAATGATCCATAAATGATTAACGATATTAAAGCAATTTATTAAAGCTCTCAGTTACATATGTGGACTAAATAAGATAAAAATAAACACAGTGAGCAATAAGGGCTCCAGGACAAGGGTTTCCTAAAATGTATGTTTTTGTTATATAAGAAACAATTTAATATTTAGCAAGCAAAGACATGAAATGGAATAATTTGGTCATAATTGGCGGGAAACGAAGATGCAGCTGAACTGGGAAGTAGAGTTTTCCAGTTCAGTTGGTTTAACTGGGAAAAAACGAGATAAAAACATGATCAGTATTTTATCAATATAAATACTGTAAATAATTAGAATATTATATTCTGAGCTGCATTTAGCAGCTGCTGAGCGACGTGACGATGATCCGTAAGGAAACCCGAGCAGGACCAAAACGATTCTTCTTCTTCTTCATCTTCTTGGTTTTACTGGCGCTTGGCAACAAACTGGTAGTAGCTTTACTGCCACTTACTGGTATGGAGTGTGGTTCATGATGATATATATAAATATTCCACCAGAAAGACAAAAAACAAATCAATATATCCTACCTACACATATAATATATATATATATACACACATATGTAAATATACATACTTATACATAACTTTGTATTCTACCCTCTATCATTCACAAACACATCTACTATAATCAAATTCTATGAAATAGAGTTTTCTTTAAAAATAACTATTTGTTTATGTTTCTCCCCAAATTCTTCCTCTAAATATCTAATAATTTAATCTTTTCCTTATTACATGAAAACTCTCTTCTCTCTCTTTCATATTTATGACATTCTAGTTTAACATTCTCTATTGCTTCATATTTTCCACAGTAATTGTTTAAAATATGAAACATAGTTTATTAAAGTTATGCTTTTGAATTTTAAAAAGTGAATAAATAAGTCCTGTATGTTCAGATCTTAACCTTGTTGTGTCTTTTTCCTCCTTTCTTCTTTTTATAAAAGCATTTTCCTGTTTTTTCTGCATTCCTCCTGTTTGCCATTTTATCTGCCTTCTCGTTTCCTTCCACTCCAAAATGCTGGAATAATTACTATCAAACCAGATTTTATATTCTGAACAATGTATGCAAAATGTCCATCCTTCGATCTGATGGATTATATTTTAAACTTAATAATGCAGAGCCTGAATCTGAACATGTTACTACAATATATGTTTTTAATGCTATTATGACTTTTACTCATTGTAAAGCTAGTAATATTTCTCCTGTGTAAACTGAACCGTCTGTCATTCGTTTTCCTATTTTTATATTCAGTTCTGGTTCTACAAAAACTATTCCTAGTTATTATTGATGCATCTGTCTGGATTTGAATATATTGAGAATTGTTTAATTGATATAATTATCAATTATATATTGATAATTGTACTGAATAATTATCTATGATAAAATAGTTACGTTGTTTCTTTTCCATTATTGACATATCTATTGTTGCTCCTGGTAGAATCCACGCTGATATTATTGATGTTGGTTTTGATTCATTTCTAAATTCATTTCAAATTCTTTTTTTTTTTCAATTGTCCGTCCAAAACTCCTCATTTCTTCCCTTCTTTTTTCCCCAACATGGATTTATCCAACCAAGAGAGGAGAAGCAGCTTTCAGCATCTATGGACCAAAAATTTGGAACAAACTTCCAGAAAACTGTAAAACAGCGGAAACCCTGACTTTCTTCAAATCTCAAGTAAAAACGCACCTGTTTAGAGTTGCATTTGAAATGTAATATGTATGGATTTGATTTTGTGGATATGTATGTAATTTTTTTTTTTTTTTTTTTTTTTTTCCTGTTGTGGGCAACGGGGCCCGGCGAATACCCGTGGTTAAACGGACGGCGGAGTCCGGCGGTAACAGGCGCTCAAATTCCGTGTCAAAGGGAAGGGGGAAGAAAGGGAAAAAAGAGGGAAAAAAAAACCTTGATATTTTATTCTATGTTGCATGCCTTTGTGTTTTGTGTTTATGATGTAAAGCACTTTGAAATGCCTTGTAGCTGAAATGTGCTATACAAATAAAATTTGATTGATTGATTGACTATGAATAATAATAGTCTTTCTACTGATATTGTGATATTTTCTTCAGCTTTGCTGTGGATTTTGACTTGTTGTTTGTTCACTATCTTGTTTTCTGTTGCTTCACATTTTAGCTGCTGCTGCATAGTTTATGTTTTTAGTCATTTTAATTTGAATGATTTCTTTTTCCTTACTTCACATCCTCCATATGCATCTCTCTGTTTCCCTCCACAGTTACAAGTTCTTGTTCTTCACATCCTCCACATTTTGGACTCTGCTTCCTTTACAGACTGCTGCTATGTGACCTTTGACCTTTGAAACAATGAAGTGGTGCAGGGATGCAAGGAGAAAAATTATTTTGATGTTTCTTTTTCTTGAAATTCAATAAAGAAACTTCCTACTTTTTCTCCGTTTATTGTTTTTGACAATCTCTTCCAGTTTTTCACTTTTGCACCAACAATATTTCTCTTGATTTGATCAAGATCTTCATCCAGAGGGATGCCATAAATCACTCCTCTGATTTTTGTTTTCTTTTTCATTTCTCTTGACACCACAACGAGGCTGATGTTATCCTGTTCTTCCTGAGTTTTAATATTATTTTAAATTCATCCCTCACAACTTTCCTCCTAGCATTTCTTCCTCTGGACTATTTCCTTCCAGTTTTCGTTCACTGCACTAAATATCACTAATTCCCTCCTTCATCTATTTTATTTCTCCCCTTCCTCTCTCCAACCTTCACAATCCAAGTCTTCCTCATCTTCTCTCTTTATTTCAATCCAAACCATTCACATACCAGTTTTTTGCCCAAATGCAGCATGTTTTTGTGTTTCCCACGATGTTGCTGCAGCTGATGGTCTTCTTCTCCTTCCTGCAGCTGGTTTACAGCTGGACATCGCCACCTGCTGGCTGTGGCACATAAATTTGCTGGAGTGAAACAAAATGGACAAAAACAAGCTCAACACAACAAGAAACTTTAAATTCTTCTCAAACCCCGAAAACTGAACTTGGGTCGGGACTGAAGTAAATGTATTTGTTAGACATAAACATCGGGTTATATTTCACCATCCATCTGAATCTTTCTTTCTAACAATGATCCCAGTTTTTAAAGGTTTCTCTAATATTTCTGCAAACAGCAGGGAGCAGCAGGGAATGTTTGATCTGAAATCACTTTAGGATATTTTTTATGATGAGACAAACAGTTTATGCTTCCAACTGACCTAGAAATAAGATTATAGATCTTCAGACAAAATCCCAACAGCCTGGTTCTGATCAATACCTTAAATAAGAAAGTTTGTTATCCAACAAATATTTGCTTATTGACCCAAAACTCCAAATTTTTTCCTTGTTAGGATGGAAAAGTCCTCATGTGACTTCAATGAAGCAGCAGAGTCATAATGAGACAAAACTTTATCCAGACACTTTGCTCTGTTAACTTCTCCAGATTCAGAGGAGTCTTTATTTGAGGTATTTTATCATCTGAAATAAAACTTTATATTTCCATTAGAAAGCAGGTGAAGCTGAGAGGAAGAGGAGCAGGAGGAGGAGGAAGAGGAGCAGGAGGAGGAGGAATAAGAGGAGGAGGAGAAGGAGGAGGAGGAGGAGGAAGAAGAGGAGGAGGAGGAGGAGGAGGAGGAGGAGGAGGAGGAGGAGGAGGAGCTGGTGTGTTCCTGAACTCTAAAGAGACTCAAACTTCCTCCTTCAGCTCAACTCTCCAACATTAACTCTGCTCAACATGCTGTCTCTGCTCACATCTGGATTCACTCTGCTGGTTCTGATCACTGGATCAGGTTGGTTGGAGTCTTTCAAGAATAATCTCATCCTTGTTGTTCTTCACTTACATCAGTTCTTTCTTCCTTCAGGTGTAAACTGCCAACAACTCACTGCAGCAAAGACTGAGGAGTTCAGTTCAGAGGGCAGCTCTGTTACTCTGACCTGCAGTTACTCTAAAGGTTCAGCTAATTATTTATTCTGGTATCGACAAAATCCAGGAAAACATCCAGAGTTCCTGAAGTCTCACTCAACTTCAGGTGAAGCAGAACATCTGGACAGGATGACATTTATAGGAAGCAAAGAAGAAATGTCCATGACGATCTCCTCTGCTGCAGTGACAGACTCTGCTGTGTACTACTGCGCTCTGAGGCCCACAGTGACAGGAAACACCAGAACCCTGAACAAAAACCTGCAGTACTGCACAGCAGCCACTAGAGGGCCTCACTCCCTGTTAATCCACTAAAACCTGCAGTACTGCACAGCAGCCACTAGAGGGCCTCACTCCCTGTTAATCCACTAAAACCTGCAGTACTGCACAGCAGCCACTAGAGGGCCTCAGACTGTGTGGACCTGAGGCTTCTCTGTAGAAACTTTCTGAACCTCATGCAAAGCTGCTTCTGCTCCAGTTTGTGCAGCAGATCTAAGTGAATGGGAGGAACCGTTATAAGCCGCAGGTTGATGAGCGTCTGGACCTCTGCTGGTTCAAACCAGCTGCTGGATTAAGGCAGAAACTGAAGCCTCAAGACTAAATACCAAAATGAAGTTAATTATAGATGGTATTTAGATTGTTTATCAGAAATACAAATAATTAAAATTAAATGTATTTTGATTTTTTTATCAAAAATTTTATTCAAACTGGATAAAATTAACTCTGTTCAACATGTGCTATTATATTTTATCTAAACTGATGGGTTTTTTTGTTTCTATTTTCCTATAGTTTAAACAGAATCCAAGGTCTTGTAATGTTCAGAAAGACATTGTTAATGAGCCTGTAAATAATGTTTTAGCATCATTATATTTCTCTATTCTTGTATTGGTCTGTTCGTTATTTCTCTTTTTTTACCATATTGTATTTAAAGTGGGTTTCTGTGTCTGTGGTTTAATGGTTTACGTTTTTCTGTGTTGCTGTGTTTGAGCAGATTAATCTTGAAAAAGAGATTTTTAATCTCAGATATTTACCTGACTGAATAAAACAACCTATTCTGTCATATGATAAATTGTGTCCCATATTTAAATATGAATCATTCTGACCTGTGAAAACAACATGAAGCCTTACAGTGAATAACAAGCATGAGGTTTGATTCTGAAACATAAATTCTGATTATAGTTTTAATCTGTTAATATGAAACAACTAACAGATTAAAACTGGTAAAAAGAAAATGGCAGAGAGCTGTGACTGGCGTGTTCCTGCAGCCAGGCTCACTGGGACAAAATGACATTATTTATGATTTAAACATAAAATCTAGAACAGCTCGGGTTTAGGCGGTTCCTCCGCTCGCGGAGCGGATGAAGCCAGAAACGGATCAGCGGGTTTATGGAAGCTGTGATAAAACATTTTATCTCAGGCATGTTTTCTGTTTGCATCTTAAAACGACTCGGCTGAACTTTGGCGACCGGTTGATATCGTTTCCTTTCTGCAGAGCTCACAATGCGCCGGCACAGGTTTATCCACTTCATTAAAGTTCATTGGACACTTTTAAAACCCTAGAAATTAGAACACAGGATCCACTGAGTTGGTCTTTTGGCATTACAGGCGATGATTTATTATTACTGTGTGAAACTATTTATTAGATCAAAGTGTTGCCAAGCTAAATTGGGTCCATTGGAAAAAAGACGCTCCAATGAACTGCAAACGTAATAAAATCTGAAAACTAGAAAATGTGACGGTGAAACAGCTTTGCTGCCTTTTGTTTCGATCTGCAACCAAACCGATGAACCGGTTCCTGAATCAGTCACCTGGTTCAATACGAAGCTTCAGACGTCACAACCTGCTGCATCAACACAAGCTTCATAAAACCCTCCTGATTGGTCGACACGCTCCGAGGCCTCGGCACTGAAAACACGTCACGGCTTTTTATAAGCGTTTCATGATTCATCGCCAGGATTCCAGCTCCAGTCTGCATTTTGACTCCTCCAACTGCGTCGTGTTTCACTGCACAAACAGCCAAAACATTTTCAATTTGCTAGTGATTATAGTTTATCTTACAATATGATTAGAAGATTTGCTGCATGATTTCTTGTTGATAACATTCATGTCAGAGTATAATGGCGGATGGGATCAGCATCATTAATCCTCAGGTTATAAATAATACAAAACAATAGCAAATGAAACAGAAAGACCGGTTTGAAGAAACTCAGGTATTCACTGATTTTATAGTAAAATGCTTTAACTCAGCAGTTCAGACAAAAGAGGGTAAATCAGCTGCCATGGGATATTTTTGTGATTAGTTTAAGTAATTAATAACAAGCAAATCCACATTAAATCCACATTAAATCCAGATTAAATCCAGGTCAGGTTGTCAGAGGAAGCAGAGCTGACTGTCTGCTGAAGCTGAGGAAGAGGAGGAAGAGGAGGAAGAGGAGGAGCTGATCTGATCCTGATCTCTAAAGAGACTCAAACTTCCTCCTTCAGTTCAGTTCAACTCTCCAACATCAACTCTGCTCATCATGGACAATTATGGTCTGTCTCTGCTCATCGCCTCTCTGCTAACAGGTCAGATTCCGTCTAGACGCTCTGATCTACTGAAATGTTCATGAAAACTTTTGTAACTGAACAGATTTTTCTTCCTCCAGGTATCAGTTGCGATCAACCGACTCCCCGGCAGAATGAAGTGTTCGAAGTAGTCAGCAGCTTTGTCCCTCTGAGCTACGCTTTATCCAAACCAGCAGTTAATGATTATTTCTTCTGGTACCGACAATATCCTGGAAAACCTCCAGAGTTCCTGATCTCCCACACAGCAAAAGGAGGAGAATTATCTCAGCCGCCTCCTGGTTTCTCCATTGGAGTGAATGAAACTCAAACCCAGATGGATCTGCTGATCTCCTCTGCTGCAGTGACAGACTCTGCTGTGTACTACTGCGCTGTGAGGCCCACAGTGACAGGAAACACCGGAACCCTGAACAAAAACCTGCAGTACTGCACAGCAGCCACTAGAGGGCCTCACTCCCTGTTAATCCACTAAAACCTGCAGTACTGCACAGCAGCCACTAGAGGGCCTCACTCCCTGTTAACCCACTAAAACCTGCAGTACTGCACAGCAGCCACTAGAGGGCCTCACTCCCTGTTAATTTACTAAAACCTTCACAGGTCCGTAAGATGGGTTTGTGCTTGATAAAAATGTTATTTTATTTATATTAGCCTTCCTGTAGGTGTTTTTAATTCCACATGTCACAGAGGGATGTTGCAGACAAATACATATACACTCTTTGTAAGAATCTAGTTTCCCTAAAATTGCAAAAATTCATATGACGTGTTGCCCTTAGACTTTAGACTCCTTTATTGTCCATTAAACTTACATAAAATGGAAATTTATCTTTGGCAATGGCACAAGAAAAACACAACACAACACACATCACAGTGGCCACAAAACTGCATGTACAATGAACAAACAAGATCTGTAAAATGAAATCAAGTCATACTACTCTACTCATGTCATTCAGTTAAATATTAAAACCCATTTAAAATTTACTATTCTACTGCTAAAAGAGCACACAGAACTTCTACACTGAGTCACAATGCACTGTGTTACTGTGTGAAATTTAAATTCAGTGGAATACTACTAACAGACTTAGAGAGCACATAAACTTATCTATTCTCAATTAATATAGTCAGATTTTTATTTAGAATATCCACAGCTGATGGAACAAATGATCGCTTGTAGCCATTCCTCCTTGCCATTGGGACTTTAAATCTACGTCCACATGGCAGCAACTGGAGAGCACAATGAAGAGGATGAGTCGGGTCCAGATAGGATGAGTCGGGTCCAGATAGGATGAGTCGGGTCCAGATAGGATGAGTCGGGTCCAGATAGGATGAGTCGGGTCCAGATAGGATGAGTCCGGTCCAGATAGGATGAGTCGGGTCCAGATAGACTTGATGTGCCTTCTTTGTTAAGGCCCGCATGTACAAATGTGAAAGTTGTTTAAGTCCAATAATCTTTCCAGCCTGGTTGACGATCTGTCCCAGTTTGTTCTTTTGTTTGACGGAGAGGTACCCATACCATGACACCATGTTGAATGTCAGCACACTCTCGGTCAAGGACTTGTAGACCATGGACATGGTGCGCTTACTGGTGTTAAGGCCCCTGAGTCTTCTCAGGAGAGCCAGGCGCTGTCTACCTTTTTTAAATGTGTAATCCACATGGTCTTAAAACTGCAGGTGACTGTCTATGACTGTCCCAAGGTATTAAGGTATCCACCTCCTGACCCTTCATGCTGATTGGCCTGAAGGTGTGCCCCGGGTCTTTATTGCCTCCCTTCTTGTTGCTTCCTAGCCACATCTCCATGGTTTTGGAGACATTAAGGTCCAGGAAGCTGCTGTCAAACCATGCAGATAAGGTGTTAATATACTGCAGATAGGGGGAGGTATCTGCTTCCCATAGGCAGGCAATTAGAGCCACATCATCTGCGTACTTAATGAGGGAGAGGTCATCAGTTTGACACTGTAGCTCATTGGTGTACATGGAGAAGAGCAAAGGTGAGAACACACATCCTTGGGGAACTCCTGTGTTGAGGACCAGAGAGTCAGAGAGGAATTTCTTAATGCACACACGCTGGGGTCGATCGCTCAAAAAATCCCTGATGAGGAGAACCAGACCAGCAGACCTTAATGGTTCTGATGAGTTAGAAAATGGGATCAGGTTCAGCCGCAATAATTTAGAAAATGTAAAGGACTGGATAATCTGCTGTTTTAGCACATGTAGGTGTGTTCAAGTGTGTGTGTGTGTGTGTGTGTGTGCGTGTGTATGTGTATGTGCTGGTTTAGCTATCATTATATGAACTTAATCTTGTCAAACAACTAACATTGTGTGGACATTTATTTATTTTGCCATGTCCACACAATAAAAACATAATTTTTGAGTTAGGTGTTGGTATTAAAGTGGGAATTAAATGAAGCTGAGAGGAGGAGGAGGAGGAGGAGGAGGAGGAGGAGGAGGAGGAGGAGGGGAGGAGGAGGAGGAGGATGAAGAGGAGGAGGAGGACAAAGAGGAGGAGGAGGAGCTGGTCTGTTCCTGAACTCTAAAGAGACTCAAACTTCCTCCTTCAGCTCAACTCTCCAACATTAACTCTGCTCAACATGCTGTCTCTGCTCACATCTGGATTCACTCTGCTGGTTCTGATCACTGGATCAGGTTGGTTGGAGTCTTTCAGAGAATAATCTCATCCTTGTTGTTCTTCACTTACATCAGTTCTTTCTTCCTTCAGGTGTAAACTGCCAACAACTCACTGCAGCAAAGACTGAGGAGTTCAGTTCAGAGGGCAGCTCTGTTACTCTGACCTGCAGTTACTCCAAAGGTTCAGCTACTTATTTATTCTGGTATCAACAAAATCCAGGAAAACATCCAGAGTTCCTGAAGTCTCACTCACCTTTCGGTGGAGCAGAACATCTGGACAGGATGACATTTATAGGAAGCAAAGAAGAAATGTCCATGACGATCTCCTCTGCTGCAGTGACAGACTCTGCTGTGTACTACTGCGCTCTGCAGCCCACAGTGACAGGAAACACCAGAACCCTGAACAAAAACCTGCAGTACTGCACAGCAGCCACTAGAGGGCCTCACTCCCTGTTAATCCACTAAAACCTGCAGTACTGCACAGCAGCCACCAGAGGGCCTCACATCGTTCTCTAGTTCTTTAACTTCCAAGGAATGAGTCTGGTTCTGGTTCTGGGTCAGTCTCTGGCTGGTTTCCTTCAGCAGCGTTTCCTTTGTGCTGATTGGTCCGTCTATTTCAGATCTGAGCCTGGTGGTGGTGGCAGCATGATGTGGGACTGTTGTCACCATTTCACCCCTACAGTCACCTGAGCATTTCTGACCATCTTCCTCCCAGTATGACCATAGTGGGCTCATCTGGTGGATGTTTCAGGCATCTCAAACTGGTTCCTAAACTGGAAGGATCACTAAAAAGCTGGATCTTAAACAATCAGAGTCGCTGAAACCTGATCACCAGAACCAGTCTCAGATGTTTCTGGTTCGCTGCAGCACCGACTCACTAACTTCAGCTGGTTTCTCAGTCAGAAATCTCCTCACTGGCTGAACCTTCAGCAACAACCAGTTTCTCTCTGGCTCCTCCCACCACTGCTGAGCTCAGCCAATGAGAAGGCTCGTCTCTGCAGAGCTAAAAGCAGCTTGATGATGACGATGAAGGTCTGTTAGTCTTCCTTCTGCTGCAGTGGATCATCTCTGTTGATCTCATGTCTGACCTGAACTCCTGGAACATGTTGCTTCACCTCCTGCTCTTCTCTCTCTGCATCGGTGAGTATCAGAACCGAGAGAAGCTCTGATCTTCTCTCTGGATCTCACTGCGACCACATGTGGATGGAAGAGCCTCTGAGTCTCCTGACGCCTGAGTCTACTGCAGACTGACTGACATGAACCATCATTTTACAGCCATGGGCTCCATGAACACCGTCACACAGGAGCAGAGGGAACACGCCGCTTCAGAGGGAAAACCCACCAGTTTGAGCTGCGACTATACTGGTTCCATCTATAATGTCCAGTGGTATCGACAGCGGCAGAGATCCAGACCAGAGTTCCTGCTCTCCATCACAGAGTCGGGATCGATCCATCCAACTCGCTCCGATTTCTCCGCTCACATCGATAAAACTCAGAAACAAGCAAATCTGCTGATCTCCTCTGCTGCAGTGACAGACTCTGCTGTGTACTACTGCGCCGTGTCGCCCACAGTGACAGGAAACACCGGAACCCTGTACAAAAACCTGCAGTACTGCACAGCAGCCACTAGAGGGCCTCACTCCCTGTTAATCCACAAAAACCTGCAGTACTGCACAGCGGCCACTAGAGGGCCTCCCTCCCTGATAATCCACTAAAACCTGCAGTACTGCACAGCAGCCACTAGAGGGCCTCACTCCCTGTTAACCCACTAAAACCTGCAGTACTGCACAGCAGCCACTAGAGGGCCTCACTCCCTGTTAATCCACAAAAACCTGCAGTACTGCACAGCAGCCACTAGAGGGCCTCACTCCCTGATAATCCACTGGTTGTTGAGTCTTTGGACTGAAGACAAAGTCATGAAGCAGGAAAGATAGGACAGCTGCTGCTGTGGAGGCAGAAAACTGTGATAATTCTGTAATTATGTTTCATTTTGTTGACATAAATATTAGTTATTAGTTCAGGTTACCATTTCTTCAAACGGACTGAGGTTTGATCCATCAAGCAGGATGATGAATGTAGAGCGAAATCCTCTGGTTCTCTGGACCTGATAAAGCGTTATAGAAGTTTAGCTCCACCTGCTGGTAAGAAGTTTGTCTTAAACAGAGAATGACCCGGTAGCTTTTACTCTTTGAGTCTTTCTGAAATTAATCACCAGATGTAGTTTGGCTGTGATTGGTTGATACATGAATCCAAATAAAACATACAAGAACTATATCCACAGTGATATACAGATTATTTAAAATTGAGTCATGATGAAATGATGCAAAGTTGAATTAACAGCATCAGCATGCAGAGCCTGCTGCAAGGAGGATTTCTCCCCTTTCGTGAGGAGCTCTTCTCAGTGTGATCTGTAAATCAGCTTTTTGATTGAATTAAAATTGTGAAAAAAATCTTTATTTTTAAATTTTAGAAAGTCTATTTTCTCAGATAACATCACTGGGTGATGAAATGGGCCCTGATCAAATGCTGCAGTCGTTTTCTCCACAGAAATACAGTCTGACAAGAAAACCTGTTCATATGAACTCTTTAAACTCTGTCTTTACGTTTATACATATTGCTTCCTCTGCAATGCTAAGAAACAAATACAATGTAACTGGGTTAGGATATACTTATTTCCATACTTATTGAGGAAATTGAGGCTCATTGAGGAAAACCGGTGAGAGAGAGAGGAGGAGCCACACTGGAAAGTTTCAGTTCCAGTTTCCAGAAATGAAAGTAAAATGAGTGAAGAACAGCAGAGCTGCAGTCGAGACTAATTTCTCTGTCTGTGTTCATTTCTTCCTTCTCAGTAACTGCCCCATTCAGCGGTGAGTACAGATGATAATATTCACTGTTTCAATCAGCAGCAATCTGGGAATAATCTTCTCATTGCTTTCAGAAACTCAGATTTTAATCTAATATTTATTTTCCATGTGTTGTTCTTAACCAACATGTTGGTTTAGGATTTTATTCCAACTAAAAATAAAGAATTATGCCATCAGCAGTTCAAATGTCAGTTTAATTTATCTTCAGCTGATGGAATAAGGAAGTGATGTGAGCGGCTCACAAGAAGAAAAGGTTAAGAGGTCAAGCTAAGGGCTTACTGTGTGGCTGGAGAGGAGCAGTGAGGGTACCTGGAGTACCTGTGCAGGTGTCTAACCTGTTCAATAACATCAGAGAAAGAGAAAACAATGGAGAAGAAGTGAGCTGGTGCCAATTATCAAGAGCAAGGAAGATGCACAGAGTCCTCAGCCAGACTCAGGTTGACATCGGTGAGCAACCGTCGCGTTTCATGTCAAGAAAATGTTCTACAGATGCAATCTTTGCTTTGCACATGTTGATAGAGAAGTCCAGAGAACGTCAGAGGAGCTGCATTGTGTTTTTATAGATCTAGAAATGACAGAATTGCTAGAGAGGAACTGTGGTTCTGCATGAGGAAGTCTGGAGTAGGAGAGAAACATGATGGAGTGGTAAAGGATGTGGATGTGAGACTGTGGTGAGGTGTGCTGTCGGAGGGACAGAGGAGTTCAGAGTGGCAGTGAAACCTCCACTTTGGCTCTGAGCCTTTCCTGTTTGCTGTGGTGATGGACAGGTTGATGAAGGAATCTCCATGGACTGTGATGTTTGCAGATGATGTTGTGATCTGAGGTGAGAGATAGAGAGGAGTGAAGGTGAGATGTATGAAGACAGAACGAGAGGGACTCAGGTGGAGATGAGTCTCTGCTGCGACCCTGACAGGGAAAAGCCAAAAGGAAAAGAAGAAAGCAGATTGAGCTTCAGTTGAAAACAGGAAGACTCCTCCCAGTTTAAAGTTTACAGAAAGACTCTCCCTGTTGGAATAATCACAGTAAATAATTCTGATGAGATAAAATGTTATTTTATGATAAATCAGAGCAAAGTCCAGCGGGAGGCACTGCCACCTGTCCAGGTTCTTACGGACTGTACTTCCTGTTTATGCAAATCATTTTACTGGTACTGACAGACGCCAGTCATAGAAATCATATCAGAGTTATTGCTCCGAGTTTAATTATTAAAAAACAAAAACAAAACAAAAGTCCAAAGACTGTGATTTATAAAAACAGGGAAAAGAAGTCAGACCAGCCTACTAAGAGTCTAAAGAACTAAAATAGTCCACAAATTATTGTCATTTTAGAATCGCCTTTAACAAAATAATTCATTTTCTGGAATTTTCAGAAAGATAATTTCCAGAGAAATCATCTTTCCTCTCTTTTGGCATGATGGCTTAAGGATTGAATCTCTGCTTTTTGCGGATGATGTGGTCCTGTTGGCTTCACCAGGTCGTGACCTACAGCTTCCACTGGGGCAGTAAACAGCCGAGTGGGAAGCGCCCAGGATGAGGATCAGTGCCTCCAGAGCTGAGGCCGTGGTCTGGAGCCGGAAAAGGAAGAGTGCTTCTCCGGGTCGGGGGATGTCCTGCTCCAAGACGAGGAGTTCAAGTATCGCAGGATCTTGTTCATAAATGGGGGAAACATGGAGCGGAAGATTAACCGGCGGATTGGCCTGGCTCTATTTGTCGGTTGATCTACATTACTACCCTGATCTATGATCATGAGCTTTGGGCCATTTCTGAAAGAACAAGGTCACGGATACAAGCGGCTGAAATGCGTTTCCTCTGTCTGGGCTCCCTGAGAGAGAAGCTCAGTCATCTGGGAGGGACTCAGAGTAGAGCTGCTGCTCCTCCACATGGAGAGGAGCCAGTTGAGGGGTACCTGGTTAGGATGGAGGCTCCCTGGTAAAGAGTTTATGTCCCACTAGGAGGAGGCCCAGAGGAAAACCTCAGACACTGCAGGGACGATGTTTCTCTGCTGGTCTGGGATCGGCTTGAGATTCCCCTGGAAGAGCTGGGAGAGAGAAGTGTGGACCTCTCTGTTACTCCTGCTGAAATCCCCCTTCATGGAACCTGATCAGAACATCTCAGACCTCCCGATCAGATCATCTGCTAATCACTGATCTGTGTCTCCTGTCCTCAGGTTCAGACATGTCTTCTGGCAGCAGCCCGCGGTCTGAGGATCAGTTTCTCTGCTCTCCATCTGTCTGGATGTGTTCACTGATCCAGTCAGCACACCATGCGGACACAACTTCTGCAAGACCTGCATCACCCAGCACTGGGACGGAGACGGCCCCTACAAATGTCCTCTGTGTAATGAAGGTTTCACCTGCAGACCTCAGCTGAGAGTCAACACCTTCATCAAAGAGATGGTTGATCAGTTCAGACATGAAGCTCAGCAGGGAGCCAGCAGCAGCAGCTCGGAGCAACAAGCTGCTAAACCAGGAGAAGTTCCCTGTGACGTCTGCACTGGACCCAAACTGAAGGCCCTGAAGTCCTGCATGGTGTGTCTGACCTCCTACTGCCAGACTCACCTGGAGCCTCACCTGGCCGCTCCACGTCTGAAGAAACACCAGCTGATGGAGCCCATGGAGAACCTGGAGGACAGGATGTGTCTGCAGCACGATAAACCTCTGGAGCTGTTCTGCAGGACCGACCAGACATGCGTCTGCTCACTCTGCTCTGTTTCAGACCACAAGAACCACCAGCTGGTTCCTCTGGGAGAAGAATCTGAAGGAAAGAAGGCAAAGCTGAGGAAGACGGAGGCTGAAGTTCAGGAGACGATCCAGGAGAGACGACTGAAGATCCAGGAGATCAGAGAGTTGCTGAAGATCAGTAGAGATGCTGCAGACAGAGAGAAAGCAGAAGCTGTTCAGGTCTTCACGGCTCTGATGGAGTCTGCTGAGAGACGCCTGAAGGAGCTCCTCAAGGAGATCCAAGGCAAACAGGAAACTACAGAGAAAGAGGCTGAAGGCTTCATCACAGACCTGGAACAGGAGATCTCTGAGCTGGAGAAGAGGAGCTCTGAGCTGAAGCAGCTCTCACAGGATGAAGATCACCTCCACCTCCTGCAGAGCTTCTCCTATCTGACAGATCCTCCACCTGTCAAGCACTGTGTAGAGGTCAGAGTTCATCCACCATCATATGAGGGCACTGTGGTGAGAGCTGTGGCTCTGGTTGAGGAAGACTTCAGGCAGAAGATTAGCAAGTTGCTAGCAGAAGAGCTGAAGAGGGTCCAGCAGTTTGCAGTGGATGTGACTCTGGATCCTGATGCGGCTCATCCTAACCTCATCCTGTCTGGTGATGGAAAACAGGCCAAACATGGAGATGTGAAGAAGAATCTTCCAGACAATCCACAGAGGTTTTCTCACTGTGTTTCTGTTTTAGGACAGCAGAGTTTCTCCTCAGGCAGATTTTACTTTGAGGTTCAGGTTAAAGGAAAGACTAACTGGGCTTTAGGAGTGGTTAGAGAATCTGTTGACAGGAAGGGAACCATCAACCTCAGTCCTCAGAAAGGTTTCTGGACTTTCTGGTTGAGAAATGGATATGAGTACAAAGTTGGTGCTGGACCTTCAGTCCGTCTGCATCTCCATCCTGGTCCAGAGAAGGTGGGGGTGTTTGTGGATTATGAGGAGGGTCTGGTCTCCTTCTATGATGTAGATGCTGTAGATGTGATTTACTCCTTTACTGGCTGCTGCTTCAAGGAGAAACTCTACCCGTTCTTCAGTCCTGGTCTTAGTGATGGAGGTAAAAACTCATCTGCCCTGATCATCTGTCCTGTTCATCAGACTCATTGATCTGCTGAATCTTGAGAGGTGAGCTGGAAACATCCTCTGCAGGAATTCAACAGTTCTGATCATTTTCTGCAGCTCGTTCTGATTCTGTGTTTCTGCAGGTTTTATCTTCTCCCTTCAGCTTCTAAAATCACCAGCTCATTATTTCTTCTTGGATTTTTTCATGTAACTATTTGAAAGTGTGTCTGAGTTTGAATCTTCTCTTTGTAATCTCCACTGTGACCTTGATGATGAGATGCTGATAACTGATCGCTGCGTTCAGAAAGTTTAATCTGGAGACTAAAGTGACTTTAGACACTAAACTACTAGTTAGTGTCTTAGTAGATAGAAGAACTGCTTCCTTCTAATGATCATTCTGATGTATAGAAAGAAAACCTTTAAGACTTTATAAGACTAATGTGATCAGAGTTGTAGTTCTAAAAGTTTTGGATCTGAAATAAAACGCCATATAATCCAACTGGAGTTTGTTTCATCTTAATCCTGGAAGTTTGCAGTTTTAGAATCTTTAAAATGCAGATCGAGCAGCAACTCTGGGAAAAAGGTGCCAAATCATTTTGGATCATTGACTTTTCAGTTTGCGTGTCAAATGGACATTCAAGGCTCCAAACACTGTCCAACTCTTGGGACCTAAAGGGGATGCTGGAGCTCCAGTTTACTCAAATGGGCTGACTGGGCAACATCTGCCAGCATTCATTGCTCTGGAAGCCATATTTGTAGATTTGACAATAAAAGCCATTTCTGCAGAGGTAAGGGTTTCTTTTGGAGACGACCTCCAATGAAGACGTCGGTGTGAAACTTGTTCTTTCACGTTTTGGACAGAAAAGGGACATTAAGACCTTGAAAGAATAACTTGATCAACTTTATTGCTGTTTGTGCTTCTGCCGTTTCTCAGTTCCCTAATGGTCCAACGGAGACACCTGGACCACCTGTCCCTCCATGTCCAGCATGTCATGGAAGATCATTTGCAGCGGCGTCTGCATAGTTGACGTTGCATCGCAGCAATCGTCCAGCGGTTGGAGCCATTGGCCTGTTCTCCTGGACATTAGTCCCGACCTGAATGGGAGACGGATCGCCTCACAACAGGACGGGACTTTCTTTGAGTGTCTTGGCAGAAAGAAATCAGTCTGAAAATAGTGATTCCACCAGATATTGTTTCATATGTTGCTGAGTGTATGCCCATCAGGAGTCAGCATGCCAGTGGCCGACTTCCTGAAAACCTGCAGCATCTGTGAGATGGTGCTGTGGGAAAACAACACATTTCACAGTGGCCTTTTATTGCCTTTTATTGCACAACATGTGCAATAATCATGCTGTCTAATCAGCATCTTGATATGCCACAGGTGGGGGAGGGATTATCTGCAAAGGAGGAGACACATTTGTTGACAATATTTGAGACAAACAGTTATTTTGTGTTTGTGAAAATGTTTTAGTTCAGCTGATGAATAATGGGAGCAAAAACAAAATGTTGCATTTAGATTTGAGAAAAAGAACCATGTGATCAGGAGAAACACATCAGAAGACCAAACGATTCCCACTGTTCAGTGAATTGAAGAAGCCCTGCTGACAGAACTGAAAGTTTGAGGAAGATGTCACCACATCTCTGGGTCACGTTTCCTCTGTCGTCACAATCGTTCTCAACACAGGAAGAATAAAAAGCACCAATTTGTTTTGGCAACATTTTTCACTTCCTTTAGTATTTAACTGTGAAAAACTCACTGCAATCCAGGATGAAGAGTCCAGTTGAGAAGCTGATCACTTCTGCTGACAATATCCAGTAGATCCAGTAGATCCAGTAGAACCAGTTCCTCCTGAACATCTGCCCAGCTGCTGAAGCCTCGTCTCCTCTCTGCTGGACTCCACCTCTCCTCTCCACCAGAGGGCGCCATGCTCCAGTAGGCGGCGCTCTCCTTGTGCTCTGTGCTCCAGCATTGTGTCAATAAGAAGTGGTGCTGTGAAGAGAACAATAGTCAGACTGAATGTTGAACATCAGCTGCTTTCTCCTGCTGATTTAAACCTTGTTGGACAGATGGAACATTGGCTGTGGATTATTCTGGCTGCTCTTTTCTCTGGTAAGATACAAAGATGTTTCCTCTACATGGAGTCTTTAAAGCTGCTGATTGTTCTCCTTTAATCAATCATCTTTATTGATCCGTCTCTTCCTCTGCATGTTCTGTTCTTCCCAGAGTGTAAAGGAGACTCAGTGAAGCAGACAGGAGGAGAAGTTGCTGCAGCAGCAGGAGAATCACTGACTCTGGGATGTACCTTTAAACCCAGTGGAGGAACTGATGCCTTGTTCTGGTACAAACAAGAAGAAAACAGTTTCCCAAGTACATGCTTAAGCAATACTTCACAACGAGAGATAAAGCTCCAGAGTTCAACAACAACAGATTCAATGCAGAAATCAATGATAAGACATTCAACCTGACGATCCAGGATCTCCGTCTGACAGACTCTGCTGTGTACTACTGCGCTCTGCAGCCCACAGTGACAGGAAACACCAGAACCCTGAACAAAAACCTGCAGTACTGCACAGCAGCCACTAGAGGGCCTCACTCCCTGTAATGTTTTGTCAGGATTCTGTCTGTTTATAAAAATCTGAGATGTAAAGCTGCATCACTGCTTTTCAAACTAAAAAGTATTTCCAAACCAACAAACTGATAATATGATGTGATTTGGATTAAACCTGTTATTGTTCATCTTTATCTAAATCTAATATCAAGATGAACATTTTCATAAATTCGCAGAAATCTTGCAGCCATATTTAATAAATAAAACTGCGGCAGTAACCTGATTGGATGTGATCAAGTCCTAATCTAATCCTGGTAAAGAGTGAAATATGTCAAGTTCAATACTGATTGTTACTTTATGTTAAAGTGAGAATAAACAGAAAGTTTCTGCATCAATGAACTGATTGTGTTCAGAAATTTTGGATAAATAAAGGATGATGATGGAGCAGGGGCTGCAGTTTATGGCTGTTTAACTGAATCTGATTACATCGTTTTGTAAAAATGTATCAATCAATAAACTATATCATTGTTATATTATTGGCAGTTTCAAACCAACCGGCCATCTGCAGCAGAACAGTTAAAATAAAACTGTTTATCTACAAACTCTGTTAAGCTCACGTCTCAAATGTCTTTTTACATAATTGATAGTTCTGAAAGTTCAGAGGGAAAAACTTTAAATTTCCACCAGAGATCAGCTGAAGCTGAGAGGAAGAGGAGGAAGAGGAGGAAGAGGAGGAGCTGATCTGATCCTGAACTCAGAGACTCAAACTTCCTCCTTCAGTTCAGTTCAACTCTCCAACATCAACTCTGCTCATCATGGCCTATTATGGTCTGTCTCTGCTCATCGCCTCTCTGCTAACAGTCAGATTATAAATATGCTGATAATCTTATTCTACACCTCATGATTGTGACTCAGTTTAGTTTGATAACTAACAGGTTTCTCTGCCTTCAGGTGTCGAGTCTCAACAACTATCTCCTCTGGTGGCAGAAAGCTTCACTTCAGAGGGCGGCTCCGCTTCTCTGACCTACACATTTTCTAAAGAAGCATCTGGAAGCGATGAGTTCTACTGGTATCGCCAATATGCAGGGAAACCTCCAGAGTTCCTGCTCTACCACCTGGGATCAGGAAAAATACTGAAGGAGGAAACGGCTGGACTGGACATTGATGTGAAGGGAAGAAATATAAATCTGCTGATCTCCTCTGCTGCAGTGACAGACTCTGCTGTGTACTACTGCGCTGTGAGGCCCACAGTGACAGGAAACACCAGAACCCTGAACAAAAACCTGCAGTACTGCACAGCAGCCACTAGAGGGCCTCCCTCCCTGTTAATCCACTAAAACCTGCAGTACTGCACAGCAGCCACTAGAGGGCCTCCCTCCCTGTTAAACCACTAAAACCTGCAGTACTGCACAGCAGCCACTAGAGGGCCTCCCTCCCTGTTAAACCACTAAAACCTGCAGTACTGCACAGCAGCCACTAGAGGGCCTCACTCCCTCCTGTTAAACCACTAAAACCTGCAGTACTGCACAGCAGCCACTAGAGGGCCTCACTCCCTGTTAAACCACTAAAACCTGCAGTACTGCACAGCAGCCACTAGAGGGCCTCACTCCCTGTTAAACCACTAAAACCTGCAGTACTGCACAGCAGCCACTAGAGGGCCTCACTCCCTGTTAAACCACTAAAACCTGCAGTACTGCACAGCAGCCACTAGAGGGCCTCACTCCCACTGGTTGTTGAGTCGTTGGACTGAAGACAAAGACAAGAGACATGAAGCAGCAAAGATAAGAGACGGAGCTGCTGAGGAAGCAGAAACTCTCTGATTGGTTGAGTTGTAGTGGCCCCGCCCACTGACCTTCAGCTCCTCCAATCCTCTCCCTTGTTACTCCATTTGCTGAGAGTTACCAGTGCTGCTCTGAAGCCTCCAACTGATCCAGGATTTGGTTTAGTGACAACTGACTTGACTTATGATCAATGTAAAAATCTAATTAAAGTAATCATTATATTTAATGTTTACGAAACATAAACATTAAACTTAATTGCATATTAAAGTGATGCTCCTAATTAATTTATGTATCGTCTGCACATAATCAACTTCCTGAACAGGCATGAAGTGGATCAAACTGCAAGAGTAAAATTGTTTGGCCTCTGATATTCCAGCGTATTAGAGCTGAAAGATTAAAAAAGGAAGAAAAAACTCTTACATTTTGAGATTACTCCCAGAAAAGTTCTAGAAACAACAGATTTCTGTGAGGATTTGGTCGTTCTGTGTTCATTTGGGTTTGTGTCGCCGTGTTGCCCCATTGACCAGCTTCTTGTTTCTTCGCCTTTATTGTCGTCGTCTGTGTTACTCCAGTTGCTACCAGTTCTGAGCTCCAAGCCTCCTGCCTTTATTCCCTTCATAAAAACCATCATCACTGTTCAGCAGCCTGAGTCCTCCGCTTCCATCCTACCATTACGACCGCAAATCAGGACAATTTATGAGTTTGGAGACAAAAAGTTCTGACTCTGGAAACCCTAAGTTTCTGATATTTACAAAATGTATAAAAATGTTTGACTTTTACATCAACATAATTTTTCTAGAATATTTTTGGTAGACTACTTTTAATGACTACCAAAGGCGTAAGACTCTAAAAACCTGGAGAAAATGTGAATATTGCTTAAATTAAATTATGTGCTCAAATAAATGTGGTAAAAAAATTATTTTAAAATTGTATCTTTTAGAAATAATTTAAAATGCAAATAAAAACATAGCCTTATAATCCACAAATTAAATTGCCAGGTAGAAACTTGGCGATTTCTCTGATTCCCTCTAGGAGGCGCTGTTGGCCGTGGCGCTAAGATTAAGAATAGCTGCATGAGAACACTGAAAATCCCATCACAGCAGGAGACAGAGAATTGATCAGAACAGAGCAAATTTAGACAGAAACACAACGATGTGGCGTCAAGTTG